ACGTAATTACATTAAATTCTGCAATGCCCTTTCCACACTTTAAGCTTGCTGAAATTGAATATAACTATCGCCAAGATATTTCATCACAAGCTGATTGCATGAGGTCGATGGGAGAAACTTTGTGAGACCCACTTAATCCCTTGACATATATCAACTTGAAATAACTGCAAATGTACTTTTTCTCAACTGCATAAATCTTTGAATGCTCGCGAATTACTTAAGGCGAAAAACAGCTAAGGAAACTTTTGGCGAACAAGTTGAGAAGTTACGCCTATGCCAGATTCTGCCAATGCTGCCAATATGCTCGACCTCAAAGTGGCAAAAAAACAAGCAGCAAAAGCTTAGTAAGCTGCATGCACCCAACCCAAGCAACATGAACCCAATCTGTGAAGCCTCCGTTGTCGTTGCAGTCGCAGCCCCAGTCTATGTCTCCTTCTCCTTCTCCGTCTCCTTCTTGGAGTCGAGTCATGCAAAACAGCAACAAGCGAGTTGCAAACGCGGAAATTGAATCTAAAAGCTGATTCGTCCTTGTTGAATGTATTTTCCATGCAGCTACCAGAAATACTTTTCAGCAAATGGGGAAAAACATCTGCATCAGGCAAATGCAAGAACTGGGGAGTTGAGTGCCTGCCTCGCTCAAGTTTCGCCTGGGGGCGTGTTGCCAAACGATTGATTTGTAGTGTTTGCCTTGCGGCCACACGATGAGACCTTTCACTACTTGATGATATTTGTAGAAGGTTTGCTGTGCAACATCATCCAGCCAACTAAATTACGAACTCATTTTGAACTATGCAGCTTCATTTCAATTACAATTTCTGCTAGTCGAGGCATTAGTTCTTTTCTCTTTCTAGTATTTGCGAAAAAATGCTGCGCATAGTTTAATTTCTCTGCAAAACAATGAACGCTTCTCTTTTTTACTCGCTATGAAACATTCTTTCGTCTGCAATTCGGAGGTAAAAGTTTCATACGCCACTGCAAAAATATGCGAGCGTTTGGAAGCTTTGAACTATGTGATACCCTGTAGTAGAATACAGTTCAGTGCTGCCTCAATTGCTTTCAGTTTTTCAAGATAACATAATAAATATATATATTTTTTTTTAATTCTCAGCTTTAAAGCAATTTACCTGTTCTTAAATATTTCATGCCTCTATTTGACTATGTTATTAAACTCTTTGACAAAAATCATCTATGCAGGGTAAATCGAAATGGAAGTACACAACTCACATTTGTTGATTTTCCATTTATATTGTGGAAATTGCATTTCATTCGGATATGCGCTATGAATTTTCGCAAATATTTTAAACAACAATTGAACGCATTTCTTCTATGCGTCAAAATGTAAACAAAGTCAATAATATTTTTGTCATTTTCGAATTAGTTGCTCGGTTGCGGGCCTTAATTCGGTTAGCACTAAAATTATTTTTAGTTTATCCTCAATTTTTACAGGAATATGATTGGAAAATATTTACAAACCATTTCGCCGCTATTGAGTGTCAATAAATAACTGAAATTTGAAACATATACTCGAATAATAAAGAGTCAAAATATTCTGGATAAACGCTGAAATGAATTTTGTCGGTATATCAAAAACCTTGGTAGTTGTAAGGGACGGCCTAGAGTCAATCATATATGGCGGATATATGTATCTAAGAATCAGAATTAATGTAAATTGAGTCTTTATTTTGAGCATTACTGCCAAGAGACTTGAAACTTAATTTGACATCCTAAAATCAATATGAGCTGCCAGATATATTTACACACATTGGGGGTGTGCCAAATCAAGAAATGGAAATGCCCCACAGTATCAAATGTCAGCCTCAAATTAGAGTTTATTTTAAGACAAAGTTATTAATAAAGAAATTTCTTTATTTTCGTTTGACACGCCAACGCATTTACATATGTGCTTGCGTATTCCTGATTGCGCTTAAATGTTTTGTATTCTCCATTTCCCCATGCCAAAGCAATGCCTAAATAGACTTTCAGAAATAAGGACTGAACACCTCTCAAGTGGTTAAATTCGCTTTCCATCGGCTAAGCAGTGCGGCATATTTGTAATTCAAATTTAATTATACATATTAGTTGAATAGAACAACTGTTTCGATTCCCTGTCAGTTGTTGTTTGGCTTTTTATGGGATACGTGCCTCGGCCCGGCCTTGGCCTGTGGCTGCACCTGACATGCGTCCAAAACATTCCTCAAATTGGTATCAGGCCTACGTAAGTATTTGTTGACCTGCGATTAAAGTCGCCCATTGAAATGTGAGCTCACAGTGTGACGCCGCATTATGGCGATTGGCTCAGGCATTCACAACTTGAGCACGTTTGCGGCACTTGGGGAATATGATATGAAAATGGATTGTCTAATCTTCGAAATGTCTCCATGCCTGCGGCTCGAGTGAAAAGGGTTAAGTCATTGGAGCACTGTGCATACATACATATATTAACCAGCCTATTGTTGTCCGCATTCAAGGCCGCCCCTGCCCTCTGCCGTTGCCGCAGTTTCTGCTGATTGGTCAGTGGGCGTGTGAGCACTGGCATAAATATTAAGGCACATTGACAGTTTGACATTTGCCCAAATATTTCGCCATTTTCTTAATATCTATTTGCGTTTAGATTTTTATTTGAAGCCCAGCCTCTACGCATATAAAATCAATATTTAATAAGTGAACCTATTCATATTTCAAGCCCAATGTGTGCAGAAGGGAAAATTCTTGTTTATACCTTTACTAAATATTTTTAATACAAGTTAGCTGAGTCAGCATTCAAATGCCATTTGGCAAAAATTTTAATAAAAATAACTCTGGGCGAAATGGCTTTTATTTATGTGCAATAATCGAGAGTGCAAATGATTCAGCTGAATTGTCTGGGCATGCTTAACAGGTCACTGATCTAATGGGTCAATGCTGTTGGAAGGCCTGAGAGCTCAAGAACAAATTCATTTTTTGTCTAAGAATATGAAAAAAAAAAGGAAATATGGTTTATCTATGGCTTGGATTCGGCGGCCTTAAGTCTAGTGGGCATTTTATTTTATTTATTTTATTTTTTTATTTATTTATTTTTTTTTATACTTTTACAACACATTTTATAAAATGTCATTTAAATCCAAAACATTATTTAGAGAGTATTTATGCAAGCCAGTTTGTGCCACATGTTGTGAATTATTTTGGCCAAGCCTTGCCATATTCAAAGCTGGTTAAATTGAACAGGTAAATAACAGGCACTAGCAATTTGGTTATTTACATTTATATCAATCTTTGTTTGCCATCTCTGGCAACATCGTATCAACACAAATACCAGGAATTGGCAAGCTGAAATTCAATAGAGCTCGGACGCAGTAAGCGCTCAGTGCAGAGTGCAGGACACGCTGCAAATGAGACGAAATCGTGGCATACTTTCGGGCGCTCGCCTTTGCTACGTCAGCATAAGCAGCTTTGTTGCTCTCTCTCTCTATGTGTGTGTACTTTAGTTGTCGGTGTATGTGTATGCTTGCAAATACTTAAAGGGAAGACAAACCATGTCAATGACATTTGACGCGTGACCCTTTTTCGCACACAGTCACAGGCAAAGAGCCAGCGAAGGCAACCATATAACCATAACCATAAACATTTACCCAGAGCATCGCAGCGAGCGCCAAGAGTTGACTTCTTACTATCGTTGCTGCTGCTGTTGTTGTTGTTGTTGATATTGTTATAAGCGCTGCTTGCTAGCTCGCTAGTGGGGTCGTTTCAATGTGATTAGATGCGATTGTGTACGCAATTGAGCGAAATTGATGGCATTGCCATTAAAAGGTATGGCCCGTAGTCCGTAGTCGTGGTCGCCTCCCCGCTCGCCGCACTCGTCGTGTTGCATTGGTTTCGGCTACGGCGCAGCCGCTGCCATCGGCATCGTCGTTCATAATTAATTTTCTAGTGAATTTACTTTCATGACATTTCGGTTAGCTAAGTGTGGCCCAGGAAAGGCAGCCGAGTCAAGGGCAACCAACCCCAATGCTCCATGCCTGCTGCCAGCTGCCAGCTGCCAGCTAGAGCTGCCCGGTAGCTGCTGTGGATACAGAAAAGTTCCTTCAGCTGCGGCATTTATTTTAATTTGAAAACTATTTTCACGCCCCGTCTACGCCTCGGCCTCGGCCTTCACCGTCTGCAGCTCGGGTGGCCATGCTAATGCTTATTATTTTCGCATGACTTTAGTTGGATTTTTATTACACAAGTCGGCCGCATTGCGTATACGCAGCTTGGCACCACAGCCACGATTTGCATTATAATTTGTGTATGGCGTGCCACATTACTCTCCGCGAATTTATCGCCAGAGCTGAAGAGGCAAAAATCTGCTATAAGCCTTCTCCCACAGCGCTCCATGCTTAATGGCAACATAATTGCAGTCCTACAATCGGACAATCAACCCTCTAATAGCCCCATATGGGAGTAATCTGATTTGGATTTCGTTTTGCCTAGCCTCCTCTGCTCCAGAGTGAGAGTGCTCGAGAGTGCGATAGATCTGCCCTGAATGTACATAATATTATATGATATGAATTTAAAGCTACGTGATCGTCTGTATGCAGCGAGTACTGTAGTTGGTAGGGCCTTCGCTGGAGTGTGGCCACGATATCTTTTATGCAAGAAATAAAGAGGAGAAAGTAGGATATAAAAATACATATCTAAATACTTAACGTAGTTAAGCTAGCAAATTATTTGCACGAAAATATTTTTGGCTCCAGGCTAGGCAACTTCCGGCCCGACCCGGCTCCGTGTGGCCCGCCTGCGCTGCCAGCTGCCGATTGGCAGCCGGCTGTTGGCTCTTGGCTGTTGGCTGTTGGCACTTGGCGTGTGTAGCACCCATTTTGGCGTGGGACCACTTGCCAGAAGGCGATACATAGCGAAAGCAAAGGGCCAGGCCGGGAGGTGGGCGCATTCCTGTAGCGGGTGCAAGGCATTTGCGTTCCGTTCGTTTGGGGGGGCCCCAAGAAACAGCGATATCCACGCGGCAATTACCTTTGATTGGACACTTAAGTTTTTCGTTTTGTTTTATTGAAACGTGATTTATGAGGCTTGGCTGGATACAAGGTCAGCCCGGCCAGCAGAGCACGTAACATTTTTCACAGAAAGGCTACAAATAAAAACAGAGGCGTGCTTGAAGTTGTCGAAATATGTAACTGAGTGGGGATACGACAGAATTTGAATTTAATGCGGGTTGCAAGTCCAAAGCGAACACAATTAAAATCGACCTGATAGGCTCCATTTATGTCTTTGGAATTCTGTTGATTTGGTCGTTCTCTTGCTTGGCCAGAGCGAAATTCTGATCTGGAATTTGCTCTGCAATCTTGGACTCGAAGAAACGTTTTGCCCCTCTGACGCCCACCTCGGAAACGTTGACGTACTCCCTGGGCCGTTTCAGATCCAACTGAGAGTTCATCGGCTGGCCGACTCTCGACTTGTTGCTTTCCAGGATCGCAGCGTAGGTGAGCAGGAACTGGCAAAAATTCATCTGTCTGGCATGCTGGCCGACGATCTGAGCCATGAGCTGCTTGGCGGCTAGGTGCGTCTGTGGCACCGATAGCTTCTCCAGGGCTAACTTAAGTTCGCACAGCTCAATATAGTTGTCGCCATTGCCATCGTATTGCTTGAAGGCAGCAAATGCCTCACGAATCTCCTCGGGCTCAAAGAAGCGCTGCGATGGCTTGGTCACAGCGTGCGGCAGGTCCTCCTCGCTGCTATCGGTGAATCGCAGTGCGCGACTCTCCAGGACGACGCAGAGTGAGAGGCGTGTCGCCAGGTCCTCGGAATCAACTGCGCAGACCTTGTTGCTTATGTCAACCCTTGACGTCATATCTCCCAACTCAGCTTCGGAACCGTTGGTGCCTCTGCCCAAGCTCATGGTCGACGCGCTTTTCACGCGATTTCTCCATGCCCTACATATGGTTTTAAAGGATTCGCATGATGCGAACGATGAATCCAGGGATAAGTCCGATAAATTCTCCACGGAATTGCACGGACTTAACGACTTCCCCACGAGGCTATCACCGATTCCACATGTTTCTTTTGGCGGCATGACTTTAATTGGCCCATGAGCGGGCTTTGGAATATTAGCGGTTTCCTTTTTGATTTCCATTGACATTGTCTTCGATTGGATAAGTAGTTAACATTAAATTTGGATATGAGTTCAACTATCAAAGGGTTTCAAATATTTTGACCAAAAGCCACTTCAGGATTTTGTCTGTTCTGCACAAAGCTAAAATTAAAAATTAAAAATTAAAAATTGAGGATTTTGAATTTGATGTTAAAATAAAGGTGTTTTCACACAATGTTGTCAGCAACAAATTGGCCTGTTTTGATTTAGGATATTAATGCTCAAAGTCAAGCAAATCAAAGTGATTCACTGGAAAGTGTGAAAATACGAGATATACACGCAAAATTTAACTGCAAGATTGGTCAGTTAAGACGTCAAAATGCAGACAGACAGGTAGACATATATATAAACAGATAAGTATTCAGACCCATACATTTACTGGCATGCAGACGTACACATAAATAGCCTTGATCGATTAGTAGTAGTAGTAGTAGTAGTAGGAATAGCAGCAGTAGTAAAAGTAAAAGTAGTAGTAGTAGTAATAGTAAAAGTAGTATCAGCAATAGTAGTAACAATAGTAGTATCAGCAGTAATTGTAAAAATAGTATCAGAAATAGTAGTAACAATAGTAGTAGTATTAGCAATAGTAGTAACAATGGAAGTAGCAGTAGTAATA